TAGAGTTGTGGCAGCCATATCTAGTGACAATAGTTGCCACCTGTAATTTCTCAGGAATTTTAGATCCTGCTAAAGCTAGGTCCTTATCCATGACAATCATCTTGTTCACATGTTCGGTAACATTTTCACCTTCTTGCATGCGGCTTGAATTAAATCTATGCATCAAGAGCTGTATGTTCACCTCAGATGTAGTGTCATACTTCTCTTTAATTGCAAGTCACATTTCCCTAGCCGTATTGTAGTTTTCAAAAACTTTGATTAAAGTATCTTCCATGAACATTATAACATTAAGCTTTTAGCCTTTTTGTCCTTAAGTTGCCATTGATCAAGCTCTTTTTTTTAGCGTCAGTGGGATCTTCACCAAGAGTTGGTGCAGAAATCTCTAGGACACTATCTAGATTGTCATGGATAAGTCCATACTTAATTTTTCTATACCACATGTCATAGTTGGAACCATTAAGGTGTTCTATCTTAGCCAGTTCAGATGCAATCAACTTACTAGTCATGACGATAATTAAGCTGTATGATATTTCAAACGAAATTGGTTTCAGGTTGCAAAAAAAAATTAACTTGCAAAAAAAAATAACTTAATTAATTGATACAAAAAAAATTATTGATAAAAAAATTTAAAAGATGTACTGTAATTATAATAATGAAATATAAAGATTTTTTTAATAACAATAAGATTAATTATATATACAAAATTAATTGAAGGAAATGAATAAACTATTAATTTCAATAAATGCTAACTATTATCAAAGTTAAGCAAAAATTAATTAAGAAAAAATGAATTTTCTAACTATAGTACTTAGAAAAACTATAAAAATAGCAAATTGAGATTCTTGTATGAATATACAAGCAAATTATACAATACTATTAGACCTACAACAAATTAAACAGATAAAGAACCATGTAAATAAGCCCAAATCTCCACAATAAGCCCAAATACTACTAGACCCAGATTTTTAAAAAAAATATCTCCACAATAAGCCCAAATCAATGGAATAATATAAAAGATTGATACCTTTGAGATTTAATACTTACAGTGAAAAGGAAAGAAATTAACCAGCGACGAAAAATTGATGGGTGCGGGCGAGTGACGGGCACGGCTCATGTTCCAGTGAAACAAGACGTCGGATCGTCAACGAGAAGCAAACTCGACGCGAGCATTCGAGGGAGGCATCTCATCGCTACCGTGAAGAACCCAGAATTAAACAAAGGGGATAATCCAACGGCCGGAGGGCGTTTGCGGGAAGGTGGTGGGCTGACAGGCGGTGGGCAAACGGC